GGTGTGCTTGGCCATCCCAAGGAGCAGCTGACAATTCACAGGAGGCAAGTGATGATGGGCATTTCTGGGTCACTCATATCTCCTAAATGCAGTTAAAGGTGGTGCTACAAGTACTGACAGAATAAAAGGAAGTAATAGCACATTCTTCCAATTGCCTTCAATACACAGGCAAAGGCCTTAAAATTTCAAGGGATGAAAATAATATTTCTTCACTTGCCCAAGTTAAGGTAGGAAACACAAGGCAAAGTTGCTTCTGTTGCTGTCACTTAATAGGCATCTCTTTTCACCTCTCAAGAAAAGAAACTAATTTTTATATGTGCACATTATAAAATTTTTATTATAATTATGTGTCTAGAATGATATGTGTTCGTATTTAATCTCATTTAATTTCAGTGCAGGTTTTAATTAATTAATTGTTCAGATAAATGTTGCTTGCCATAGACCAAAATGCATCAGGTTAAGATGTCTTCTAGATGAAGTAAACTGATACTATCACTTGGTCCTATGCTTGAATTTCCTTCCATATTTCGTGAAGCTAGACATGCTTCGAAAGTGTTTGCAACATCTCAGAAGGGTAGCAGAACAGAGTGCAGAAAATTTAGCTTTAAAATTCGTCTGCATCTAAATTTTTTCTATGATTTCGGTAGTAGTTGGCCATAAGCAGTTAGTGGTATCTCTAAAGCTCTTTATTTCTTGTCTTTCTACTAGTAGGAGCAAGGGGGAGTTCTGCACTTCATATCACAGCATCATGCTGTGATGAATAACATCAATAACACCAATGATGATTGGTAAATGGTGTGACCCTAACTACAGGAACAATGATATGTTTTTATTTTAAACAAGAAATAAAATTAACCTTTGAAATTATTTTTGACAAATAAATATTGGCGGAAATGGATAATTAGGTAATGTGTCACTAATTGTAAAGCCTTATGATGATATAATACAAAGCTACAATATAGCAATGACAGTTTTTAAAGCAGAGAGGGAAAGGGGTGTTGATTGGATATAAACTGATTAAGAAGCTGTCTTGGAATTGGTTGTTCTGGCCATCCTTGTTGCCCTATCACGAAAGGAAGAGAGTTCAGTAATGGTTTAACTACAATTAAATCCCTCCCCTTTCTTTGTGGAAACTCAACTGTAGGCATTTCAGCATTAGCCTAAACAATGGTTTTGAATATGTTAAGCCTCTAACAATTAGGGAGCAGTTTGGGGCATTGAATAATGTGGAATGATGCAATTGAACCTGACAGCTTCAACAGTCAGCCTACTCATGGGACCCAAAAGTTGTTCACACTTGGTTTCATCTCTCATCACACGCTGAGTATTAAAACCTTACTAGTGTGGAGCTGAGACAGAAATGAGGCCTGTTATCAGAAAATATTTCATAGCATAAAACTTGAAAGAAATGAGGGAAAAGGCATCTTCAAAGAGTCTCAAAGTTTTCAGACTCAATCTGATTGCATACAGCTAAGTATTGTCTCATCTTTCTTGCCTTTGATTTTTTTCCGCTGAAAGAACATGTAACTTTTGATTGAAGAGACTGCTTTCCCTGGAAATTTCATATAGTAGTAAATGTTCAGATATGAACGCTCTGGAAACTTTATAGTCATATTGTTAAATACTATCCTGAAGTCATGCAAACAAATATAAAACTATTCTAAATATTGTACTATGTAGTTAACTGGCAAGTCTTATTCTTTAATTAGAAGAATATGCTTGTACTTGCTCTCTTGCTGTAGAGGAAGTGTTTTTAAACATCAGTCAAATATCAATCATTTCTTACTGCACATGGATATTCTCTGAATTACAATGCATCGTCCTTCTGTGCTGCTCTACTGCTTATGGCTTTACTGATTTATTGAACATGCCATAAAGGAAAGCAGTGTGTTGTATACCTCTAGATGGGCTTAAATCCTTCTGCTAAAATATTTTCAGGGAAACTTGCTGCATTTTCAAAATAAATACTTAGTAGTCTTGGGTTTTTATTAGCTCATACATTTTGATCATGTATTGTGTTGAGTGTTTAAATAGAAACAGTTGAAATAAAGACTAATACAGCCTTAAAAGTTCTGCATTTTAGAATATGTGTCAGTCCTGTGACCTTAATATGTATTGACAGGATGATTGCGCATTTTTAATAAATGCTTGCTACAGCTTGTTTCGACTGTGAGTGAAACATGAAGCTCCTATTTCACCTTTAAATAATGTAGTACTCCTCCGCCATCTCTACTTCCTTGTCAGAGGAAGTCGTCACATATACAAGAAAGCTTCACAAATCATTATTCTTGTCATTTTATGTTGCCATTTTTAAAAAGTGTTTTCAGAGGTTTTTTTATTTGCCTTTAACTTACTTGAACAATTTTATTGTTTCTTTTTGCTTGAAGAGTTGTATGGGATGCAGGATGGCATTGGAACTTGTATAAAGACACCTTTACTATTATTTTAAAATGGAAACAGGGCTAACATTTAGGGTGAAACCACTACTTGTGAAAAAACCTCAAGTTCTTAGATATTGTTTCAATCCTGCTAAGTCTTTTGATCTGTTGTATCAACCCACTTAGCAAACGTTTAGTTCCTTTGATGTTTTCTGTTTTGTGGTGTGATAGTTAACTCAACAAACTTTAGCAACTCCCTTCAAAGATACTTAGGTACTTTCAGAAAGTTCTTAAAGCTATTTGTGCATGTTTTGGTCAAATAAACTTGTATTCCCCTTGCTGATTATAGCTACATTGCCATGATAAATTAATATGTAGCTGCTATTGCACAGTTTTAAGCAGTGAAGTATATGGACTGAGAGCTAAGTATAGAAGCTTCTGTGAAAAATGTGATCTGTACATACACTTACTGGAATTAAACTAAATGTTTTAGAGAAATATGCTAAAACTAAACAGAAATAAGACCTGGTGTTTGGAGCTTAAAACCTGCCTCCACCCTACCACCAAAACTATGAGTAGAACTCATCATATAAACTTCTATTTTCCTAGTCTGGCGTTTTAGATATGGTTGAATGGTAGTAGTGGTAGTGAATCTCTTAATGCTCCAATCTGTAAGGTTTTATCAGTGAGAGGATATGACTGAAGTTTGTTTGGTTTTGAGGGGAAAACAGCTGAAGGTTGCTAGGAACAGCAATAGTTAAGTTGGAACTGCCCTATGGGCATTTTTTTAAGGAAAATAGCAGGAGCTGTGCAGTATTGCTGCCTTTGTCAGTGTCACAGTACTAAATATTTATTGTATTTCTGGAAGCTGTTGTACCTGGGTAGGTGGAAATGTTTGCATTATTTTTAAGACTTAGAAATAATCCAGATAAATTCTATCAAAGATATGCAATTCTTAAAAAAATCGTCAACAAACACCAGAAGTAACAGCCAGATTTGAAGTGACATTGTGGTTCCGTGTCTAGAAATCTTGCACATACCTCTAAACTGAAGTGAATGAACCCCTGATCATTGTAAGCAATTACTTGTGGCTTTTTCGAACTTTGTGACAGTAGAAGAATGTAAATATCAGGCACAATTTCTCACCAGTATATAGTAAATAAAGCATCATTGAAAACAGTTGTGTGAATTCATAAAAGTCCATTCATCAAGTTTAATATGTTGGCAGAAAGCCAGAAGTTAATGGTAGTGTGTGATTCTTTCCAGAGACATAGTTTATACTCTGTAATATTTTGCTGTAATAACCAGTATGTTTCCCTTGTCTCTTGTGTGCAGTTATGCATGTCAAAATGTCCCACAAATTGAGTTCCTTACTGTTCACCTTTTTTCATTTTTCAAAAAAAGTTTCATTTGTAATGGTTGTTTACATTTTCTTAGAAGATTAATTCTAAAACCAGTGATCACACAGGTTTGTGTATCTTTGATTGCACCCCCTTACCCCTCCCTCTCCCCCACAATCTTTTCTTTGTTCTGAAATAATTTTTTTATCAGGTAGGAAAATGCCTTTAAAATAAGCAGCCGTGCTTTTATTTCTTTGACTGCCTGTCTCTGCAACTTACCATTTGACACAAATCTTTTTTTCTTCGAAAGGGAAAAAGCATAAGCAGCCAAGGAAGAAGGTATTTTTATTACGTTGGATTATGCAAGATTTTGGCCAGCCTCCTTAGCTTCATCTGTTTAAGGGTTCATTTTCGCTTGTTTGGCACAAGTCCCAGCAGAGACCTTCAGAATTGTGGTTAGCAACATGAATGAACACAAACTTTGGGAGCTCTTCAATAAGTAGAGCTGGCCAACTGCCAAAAATACAGTTCCTTATATGGGGTCAGGGCAAAGCTGTGGTTCCCAGAGCCCCCTATTGTATAGAAAACATACTTGTAATGGCTGTTTGCGTTCTTTAAAATAAAAACAAAACAAAACAAAAAAACACCAGGCTTCCAAGTCTATCAAAATAGGAAGTAACAAAATACTGTGCACGTTTTACTAATGACGGAGTCGAGCAAAGGAAATATGGCTCTGTGTAGTTAAACTATAGAGCTGAAAGTTGGACCTTTTGACCTCCACAGCCGGCTTGTGATGTAAGGAACCCAAGCATTTGTGAGACATCTGTTGTCTACCTGCCCTTATTTTGTAAATGGTTTAATAAGATTAAATAATTAGTAGGATAACCACATGGTCGCCATGCTACTAAGTCCTAGTGTTGAGCGCATACTTCGGGATCACAAGGAAGTCTGCCCCTCCTGCAAACTGTGGTTGTTTTAAAATGCCCTTTAGGTATTTTTAATACTTGCTACAGGACTTTATTATTAGAAGGGCTTTCTTCAATTAGAAGATCTTGACATCCACAAATATGACATACTTTAAAACCTGGTCTATTTTTTGAAGTACTGCAATTCTATTTCTATAATCATAAATGAAAGACATCTCTTTCTTTAAAATACATTGTTTTAAAAAAGCACTCAACTTACAAGAATAATAAATGTGCATTAAGAAGGCTTCTTTAAAATACATTTAGCATTACTCCCCATTACAAAAAGGATTCAAGTTTTAATTGGTTTCTTGCAGGCAAACACCCTACCTGGATCTTCTCTCAGTCTGCCTCCATCCCACATGTATGGCAATAGGCTGAATCCAAATTCAGCCATGGCAGCACTCATAGCTCAGTCTGAAAACAGCCAAACAGGTAAGCTTCCTCTGCCGGTGCAAACGTGCAGCTTCACACAACTCCTTGTTTATAAAAAGGTTGTTAAATTGTATTTTTGATTTCTGCTCAACTTCTGGTTATTAAATGTCTGTAAAAAGTTGTTCTGTGTTGGAAGTAAATTCTCAGTTGTTCTATGGAACAGCGCAGGTTTTCTTCCCCTTTTTTTTCCCCTCGGTGTGTGAAATGTAAATGTTTAAGCAGAGCCATCAGCAGGCAGGAATGCACCAGTGTCTCTTGTGACTCCTGTGATTGATGCGCTCAGTTCCCAGCTCTTTGCAGCCAGAGTGACACAGCTCTGGGTTTTGTCGTGAATAGTTGAAACCTTTATTTGCATAATTCATGAAATTGCATTACATACAAGTTCGTGTGAAAGAGATCCCGTTAGAGAACTTGTGCAGCATTTAATAATCTTGTGAATATTTACCGATTGGCATTTGGTACCGCGGGCTCTCCGCTGCGGTTTTAATGAGCCGCTGGCTTTGCTTTGTTTCATTCCCTCCGTAAGGATTTGTTGACATGTCGTAGTAGTCATGCCTGTTTGGGGGAAGGGAATGAGTTTAGCAGTTTACCAAGAATGGATCAGTCATGTCTTTGCCCTCCAAGGGGTCGGAGGTCGCTTGACTCAGAATAGGGGGAGGGCAACCTTGAAGGGGGCAGATAGGGTTATTTTATTGAGAGGCCATAGGGAAAATAACCCTTTTGAGTCCTTCCAAGCAAAACGTTTTCGTATATTTAATGAGGCCTTTTTTGTTTGTTTTACTACCTTTTTAGCAAGGGGCTTTCCTATGCTTTGCTTATAAATAGGAATTAGTGAATTATACGCTTTCATAAAGTTTTCAGTAAATTTGCAGAATAACGTGTGCTTGTTAGATGGCAGCATTAAGTTTAATACGTTATATATTTTATGAGTTGTTTTGGGATGCAAAGTGTTAAAAAAATACAGAGCATCAGGATTTGCTGTGATAAGCATACAGATTAGCTGTCCACAGCTGTGATTCATTACTTTCACCGTACAAATTAAAAGTGGCTGAGGGGAGGGTACTGCAAATGCAAACCACGCTTCTGTGCTGTAAAACTGAAAGGAATGAAAGAAGTGAACATAATCCATGGCCTGGTACAGCCTCAGAAATGTGTAAGGACAACACCTTACATGCTACAGTTCAGCAATCTTAAACTAGTTACTTATTCACTCTTCAACAGTAACTGCAGATAGAAGTTGAGATTGAAGGTATTTTTAAAATATCTACATCAAATATTAAAGCTCTTATCTAAGAAAAGGCGATTTATCAGCTGTGAAATATTTACACTGCAGATCAAGATCTCGGAGATAACAGCCGAAGCCTTGTTGGCAGAGGAGGATCACCCAGAGGAAGTCTCTCACCACGGTAAGCGTTATTTACATTGGAGAGTGCAGGCAGAGGAAATGTTTTAAGATTTACAAACTTCACTGTCTTTTTATCAGCAATACCAAAGTGTTTTAAAAGCCCATCTATATAAAAGTATAAACACACATGTATAAATACATGTATTTTTGTATCAATGTATCCACCTACAAAAATCCCTCATACATCCAGAGAGCTAAAATTGTGCTAAAATTTACTTTTGTATCAACTGAAATTATGTTTACAAATTAAGGTTAGTAGGTAAGTTAGTTTACTCCCTTACTTAAGAAACGGAGTCCTGCTTTAGAAGGGTTTATCTATCATTTAATCCATATGTACTGCTTTTCCTCAAATTTGTTACCACAATCCTAGTTTAGTAATATTTGCAAAAATCCAAAAATCCCATATACTTAATAGTGATCACAAGAATAACGTGGTGTGAAACATTAAATTAAATTAAACAGTAAAAATTCCAAGCAATATTTTCTTCCTTTTCCCTCACAACTTCAAAATTTGTAGCAATTCTCTGTAGAAAAAACTATTTTTTTGTTCTGCTGCAATTCAGATTTTATAGAAATCTTTGAGATAAGAATTCTGCTGAAACTGAATCATGTTATTTTGTTTTAAAATATTTGCTGTTAGCATTTCAATATTGTTTTTAAATATTTCAGTAATATTTTCTGTATATTTTAAGCAAATCTTTGTTTTAGGGGGCTTTATCTTCCATTCTAACTCATCCAATACGAGTTAGATTTTATGGCGTTATTAGTGTGTCTTTACTTAGGGACTAACAATGAAAATGATTTATCTGAAAAAAGATTTATGCTGAAAAAGATTTTAGGATAGCTAAAAAATTCTAGTTACACAGAAATAGCATTATAATAATGAATTTTATTGCTATTGCATGTGTTTATTATGGTAATTTATAACAAATATCTCCAAATTAGATAATTTAATGTACATGCCTGGTGTTGTTGATCTTGTATTATATTCCTTAATTAATCAAAGGACATCTTGCTGGATGGGATGAGATTATCCATTATAATACTTAGGTGTTATTACCTAGTCATGAACTTGTTTTTAAGTTTTCCAGTATGTGTTGCTTCTAAAATAATAAATAGAGAATTTACAAATTAGTTTAGATGATATTCTTGGCATAAATATGTATACTTACATTAGCATATAAATTGATCTATACAGACAAGGAATTTCAGAGAATTTTGCAAAGGGAAATGCTCAACAATTAGGAAATTCCAGAAGTTTTGATTTTCTTTTAAATAGCCTTCTTATGCATACATGTTGTGGCAATTACAAGTTTTAATGCCTTCTTAATAATATGCAAAGACCAGGTCTTTGCATGGTTTGCGTCGGACATAGCTGTGTTCAGTCTGTCTTTTGGTCGAATATTTGGGAAGATAAACTTCTTAAATATGATGTTTCTACAGAATGTGTATGTTCAGGGTATATACAGTCCAGTATTTGTAGCATGGTAAAATACCAATTGGTTTTGATGGGGATGCCAAAGGAGAGCTGGATGATACAAAGGCCACCTCAGTCCACAATTGAAAAGCTTCCTGCAGTGTATGGAAGCTGTAGCACTTGCAAAGAGGAGAAAGATTTTGCTTGGCAGGGTTGTTCAAAAACAAGCCAAGAAGGGGGGGAAGTAGGGGTGGTGGTGTAAAAAGCAAGGGGGAGAAATTGGTGCTGTAGTAACAGAACTGAAAGGTGGAAAAACTTAGTCTGAAATACCTAGCATGGAAAAAATTTAGAAAACCTACTCATTCAGTTAAGTTCAGTAGTCAGCAAATTTCAGCCCAGGTTTGGGCGACAAAAAAGGTTATACATATGTCAAGGTTTCTAAAATGTGTAGGTAACAGCCCACCGTCCCCTCTTTACTAAATAAGCAACTCTGGTTACTTAAAATACGGTTTATAGTGAATAAAAAGCTAACTTCAAAAAATCTGCTATCTGGAAACTTTGCAACTCCGAATGTTACCTGCTCTATCTATTAAAATTATTTAGCTGCAAGTTCTGACTCTGTTCCCTTTGAAGCTTATGAGATACATAAATAACACCGTTCTCCGAAAGAACCATGTGATTTTCAGCGAGTTGCTTAAAATAAAAACACTTGCGGAACATTTGTTTGCTGTTGATGACGCAGCTGATTGCAGCTCTTTGGCGAAGACATATGTGACTCATGAGCTTGTTTGGTCATTTCCAATTCATATTGTTATATCTTTGTACCCCAATATAACCACAGCGTTTGATGTTTAAGCTGTCGTATTTTAACTTCTAATATATATATGAGAAATATAAATATACCTGGTATATGTGAACTGTTTCCATTTTGCAAAGGAATTGCTGCTTTTCCCAAGGTAGCACTTAAACTTTTTTTTACCCCATACTTAACCTTAGATTTAAAAATGTGCTATGTAATACCTGCAGTGAAATTTGTATGTATGCTTATAGCTAAATGCAGTATTGCTTCTAATTAGTGCTCTATAGTATGAGTAACTGTACCAAACTTAATCAAAAAACAGTTGTGAAAGCAGGCAAGCTGTGAAACAGGGTTCTCATCTCCGTGGCAGGATTGGACCAGTCCAGACAGCACATGTATAATCCTCTTGGAAACTCTGATCAAATATTGTTTGGAATAATGATTCAACCCTAGCATGCAGGAACTATATCCTGTCTAAAGGATGAGCTAGGGGTTCAGTTGGAAGAGGACAGATTGAATAATGTTGCAATACACAGAAATCTAGATTTTATTTTTTTTATCCTTCTCTGTACAGGCTTCCAGTGAAGGATTGTAGAGGTTACACCATCATGTACTGCTTTGTTTCTGCCTTTTCAAAATTGATAGGAAGCAGTCCAAAGCCCAACAAGAATTTCATTGGTGATTTATAATTCAGGAGGGAAATCTGTTAGGGTAGTATTATGTGCTGCTAAGGAACATGCAGACAGAGAAGTTTCTGGGGGAGTTGTTCAGTGGTTTTGTGTATTTGTTTTCTGGTTTTAGTTTTGTTTTGTTTTTCTTTAAAGCAGGTTGTTTGTGTGAAGTGTAAGAGTAATACCTCTGTGTAGAATGTTTCTGCATAAACTTTCCTTCTTACTGCTTCAGCACATCCTGTAACCATTTTAAGACTGCTTTTGCTGTCTCTGTGCTGAACTGTTACATGCTGTTGAGTTGTCATCTCTTGTCAAAAAACACTACCTTGGTTACCCATTCATCAGAGCTTTTTGTTTTAACAAGTGCTTTCCTTTCTTCCTGTATGCAAAAGAACTATTTATAAATACTTAACAGAGCTCTTAAGTCACCTACTTAAAACCTTTTATCGTAAAAATCACTTTGCTCTGGTGCCTACAAAATGCTCTACAGTCATTAGGTAGCTAATGTGCTGTGACCACTGCTTACTACACTAATCATAATTAACACACTGATTTCCTGAGCTCTCCGTGTTGTCCTGTACTGGGGCTGTGGTGGTCTTGTTGGTAAGTTTGCACTATGGGTGGAAGAGTACAGCTGTGATCCCATGATGTCACCAGTTGCTTACAGTAATAACTAATAGCTGAGAATATGAGCTCACTGGAATTGTTAACACACACACACACACCCAAAACAGCCAACAAGAAAACCAAGAACCAGCTTTTGGTGGGCTTTGGTGTTGGTCCTGTAGGAGGAATGGATACATGAGACCAGAAATCCGAGTCAGAAATACAGGGAGCATCTGGCTTTGCTCACAAGTTAAATTGTGCCACATCCAACGCAAAAGAAGCCTTCTTCTAGGGCCTGAGAGAGGTAGCCAGCTTTCTCAGTGGCTGTGTGCTGAATATTTAATTTTCTCCTGGATGAGAAAAGACATGTGGCAAGGGGATTATTCTTTGAACTGTGTGTGATCATGAGTAAAAAAGGAGGTATATTAAGTGTTCACAATACAGGCAGAGGATAACTTACTTCTAACTTGCATTGCATCCCTTGTGAAATAATATTTTCATGTAGTCCTTCAAAAATCCAGATTTACATGACTGTTTTTAGAATGAGTTAGTCAGTGGAATCATATATGGCCTTTCTATTTGATGATTTTAATAAATTTGTTTTATTTTTCCCTGTTTTCTCATGGAAAGGTTTGAAGTTTGGTGCAGGCTGGTTTTTTTTGCTCCCCAAGTCAGTGTCCTGTGTATCCATATTATAATGGTTTCCTGCTGTAGAAGTGTGTATTGTATAATTTAATCCAGTGCTGTTTGTCATTTACTGTCTTGTTAGCCTGTATGCAGGAAGAGGTTATGTGCTTTCTCAGTATAAATTCTCACACTGTAATAATACGTCTTTTACTGAAGACCTGGCAGTGAGAACCAGGAGTTCGTAATGATTACGGTGAAGTAACTTAGTCTTGGAAGCATAAGATACGAAGGTGCTAAGAGCTGATATAAGATCAGAAATTTCAACAGCCTTTTTCTATTTCCTTTCAGCCTTTTCTTTAAACAATAAATTGCAATATTTTCAACAGATCCCCTGTGAGCAGCTTGCAGATTCGCTATGATCAATCAGGGAATGGTTGTGGGGAAAATTTGCCCCCAGTAGCAGCCAGCATAGAACAGCTTCTCGAGAGGCAGTGGAGTGAAGGACAACAGTTTTTATTAGAGCAAGGCACCCCCAGTGACAGTAAGTACTCACAATCTGTTTATTATGACTTTTGCCAACTGTTACTCAGAACTGCTACTCTGTGCTTGCCCAAGAATTTTAATAAAATTTATTTTCTGCTGTGAATTGAAATATAGCTGTGGTGGTGTACAATCCTAGCATAGTTCTTAGTGCAGCACATAGCATCAGTAGATTACAAAAGACTTCTCTATAATCATCCACATTTTTATCGATGGGGAAATTGTATCATGCAAGAGGAAGTAATTTGCAGGTCCAGTTGCAGAGTTTGGAAAAGAGTTCTGAACTCTTAGATCCACTACTGTAAATATTGTAGTAAGTTCCCAATTTTTCTTTATACTGTGTGATATAAATTGGCATAATAATTTTTTACTGTTGTATTTTTTATTTTTAAATTTCACTTTTCTACTTCTGTTGCTGTTTGAAAAGAAAACATTTACAAATATAATGCAGGTGTTCTACTGGAATTTTATGTCTTTATTATGTTCTGCCTTTCTTGTGAGTTCCTAAAGCAAGCAAATTATTATTTTCTCAAGTTATGTTTAATAGAGTGGTATATTCCAAAAATGAATATGTTAAAAGCATAAATGCTCAGTAGGTCATGTGGATCTTCATATTCAGAAATGTATTAGTATCAAAGACAATTACTGATTATGTTAAAAAAATTATTTTATTCCAGGTTATGGTTTGTGTTATATTTTATTGAACACATTATTCTTCTTATTGGTAAAGAGGTATCTAGTTAGTATTTTTATGAATGGTATCCTGACAAAAATGCTAATTGTGAGGAAATTCATGCAGGGATAATCCTTTAAACATGATAGCTGGAGGACAGGTTTAGCTAAGTCTTATTGCATCTCATTTGAGCTCACTGAGGGTTCCTTTGTATGTACTTGAAGAGGAGGGATAAAAGCTAAATCCTTGGGAAATGACCAGATGTGCCTATACCAGTAGACTTATGTCTGTAGTAGCTCCAGAGGTCATGTTAAACAAATACAATTTAGAATTTAAAGAAAAAAAAGAAAAAGCAAAAAAGAAAGGGGAAAAAAAAAAAAAAAAAAAGGAGGCTATCCCTGTGGCTTTACAGTCACACTCTAGTACTGGTTGGGAAAGCTGAGTTCTGAAACCAAATGGGAGTTTGAGAAAACTGTGCTTGGTAAAAATCAGGTCAGTCGAGAAGGTGATGCCCTCGTTATGGAAACGCGGGGGGTAAGTGCGGTGCTCACAGAGTGCTCCCTGCTGGGGGATTCCGAGATCGCCGCTCGCAGCTCCCGCCAAGGTGCACCGGGACAACTTCACGTTGGAGGACTTCTGGTTTTTTCATTGGTTCAATACATTTATGATTCACTGTAGAAATCATTAAATTAGAAAAACTCCCTTTTCATAAACTTGGTTGTTTTTATATAAATGTTGTTGGTTGCCTGTGCTGTTAGTTGAGCGTATTCTTGTCAAACTTCTCAGTTTTATAAGGTTTGCAGTTCCTAATACGGCAGCTGAACTGGATTTATCCCAACTGTGCAACTAAAATACTACTACTTTTATATTCTGATTTGAGGCTGAGTTATCACAGACTACTGTTTAATTAAAATCAATGCTGGCCCTAATGATGCCACTCTGTCAGTATTTAAGCCAGGCTGTAGAGTTATTCCAAAATTACGATCACAACACGCTATGAACCTTTTTCTGCAATTTAAATTACTCAAAATTAATCTTAAATATTTCCACTAAAATTCAGACTTCTGTAATAATTTTATATTTTTGCATATATGCTAGTTCTTAATGTAATGCAGAATTTTAAAACTGAATGAAGGTGTTACTTGTTCATTAACGTGGTTGTGCAATATCATGTGTTCATTTTTGTCTTAGTTTTAGGAATGCTTAAATCATTACACCAACTTCAAGTTGAAAATAGGCGGTTGGAAGAACAGATAAAGAATCTGACCGCAAAGAAGGAGCGACTGCAGCTTCTCAATGCACAGCTTTCGGTGCCCTTTCCAACAATAACTTCAAATCCCAGCCCTTCTCATCAAGTACATGCCTTTCCAGTACAAGCACGTAAGTAGAGGGGATTATTAAAGTGTCAGAGTAATTTGAACATGTATTTATATGAAATATCTATTTCATCCACACATGCCATTGATGGGAGATGAATATAAATGTAGGATGAATATAGACCAAGCATTTGCTGATGTGTTAAATGTTTAACATCAATTGCTTTATTTTTCTGAATCATTACTACTTGTTTCAGTGAAGTTTCTGTTTTACTTCAGTTTGGAGCACATCTGTTTGAATCTATTGATTCACCAGTTACTCAGTTAATATTTTACAATTCACCAATCATTTTAAAGTTGACTTTACATTTTCTGTGTTTAGCTTTGTCATAATTCTTAAATAATTGTTCTGAACCTTTTTTACATGTTACAGAAATTTAACCACTGTGTGTTTTTTGAAATAATTACTTTAGCACCTAGCACAGATTCCCTGAACAGCAGTAAAAGCCCTCATCTGGGAAACAGTTTTTTACCGGACAATTCTCTTCCTGTATTAAATCAGGTAATTTTTATTTCTTTCTTCTAAACTGAGCTTGTTACAAGTTAACTCATCCCAGTCCTTGCATTGTGGTGTTAGGTGAAATTTTATGCAGCTGAGGGGGCTTTGTTGTTTGTTTTGACACCAGGAGATAACCTCCAGCGGACAAAGCACCAGCAGTTCATCAGCGCTTTCCACTCCACCACCTGCTGGGCAGAGTCCGGCCCAGCAAGGCTCGGGAGTCCCCGGAGTTCAGCAGGTCAATGGTGTGACAGTGGGGGCACTGGCTAGTGGTATGCAGACTGTAACCTCCACCATTCCTGCAGTGCCGGCTGTGGGTGGAATAATTGGAGCACTGCCAGCCAGCCAGCTGGCAATCAATGGAATTGTAGGGGCTTTAAATGGGGTAATTCAGACCCCAGCAACAATATCACAGAACCCTTCTCTCACTCATGCAACCGTGCCACCCAATGCAACACATCCTCTGCCAACCACGCTAAATAACAGGTAAGAATTCGCTGATTTTTCCTCATAGTGCCTGATGTTCTCCAGGTTAGCTGGGTTTTTTTGTCTTACTCTAAATATATTGTTTATTCCTTTGCCTATAATTGTATAAGTAACTTCTGCTCCTGGCCTGTGAATGAAAATGAGGAGGCATTTAATGGAAGCACATATAGTCAAGTTAAAGAAAAGATGTTTTCTCTAGAGCTTTTGGGAATCCTAGTGAATTCCTGTTTTTTTAATCAAGTCACATTCCCAAACAAATGTAATTATGTAAATGTGCTTTGGCTCCTTTTTTTTTAGTTCAGAAAACAATATTCTTTGTCCTGCCAATTGTTCTCCCAGGATTAAAGGAGCACTGGAAAAGCTACCATTTGTTGCAGTAAGAAGGGGGGGAGTGGGGGGAAGAGAAGGGTATATGGTCATGTAATTCAAGATGTAATAGGCATAACTAACCAGAGCTGTAATACAGTTGCACGGTCTTCAGTTGCCTGCACTGACTCCAAACCCAACAAAATTAGTTTTTCAAGCAGTGTTCCTATGGATTTCTAACTGCATAAGAAGATTCACTTGTGAGTATTCCTAACAGCCCTTCACCAGAGCCAGGTACCCTCAGTAGTATAAACTGCTGCTGATTGAACTGCAAGGCAAATGGGTAACAAGAGGGCAGCTGCTTTCTGTGAGGAGGAACGGACTTCTTGGTCTGAAAGTATTTTGGGATAGAGCAGATCCTGGGCCAACTCTTTCTCACTGTCCCATTCCCCTCACCCCTTATCCTGTCCTTCACTTAGAAAGGAGCACTACAGTTCTATGTAGAAAGAAGTGCCTGTAAATAGGGAGTGGATTACTTGTCTTTAAGTAGAGTTTATTTTTGGAGATTATGGTGGATTATCCATCAAAAAAAGACGTATGTGATTGGAATGATGCAAGGGATCCTTTCCCTTCCTTTTCCAGTTTCTTTGCTTCCTGTTGGTTTGGCAGCTCCTGAATATTTGTGTACTGTATCATTGTGTGGTATTGCTTCAGTAGGCTCATAAAATCTGATACTTCCAAGTGTATCCTGTTCTTTGCATGTGTCCTTACGTTTTCCCTGAGGAGCCTGTATTTTTCATAGTTTATAGCCTTTGTGAACATGAGGTTTCATAGGATAAACAAAAGACATTCTGTTCATGAAAAGCTTCCATCTTTCTTGAGCATCAGAGATTTGTGAAAAACACAAAAATTTTGCATTCTCTCCCCGAAAGTGTGAGAGAGTGAGAAATACTAGACAAGATCAACCATATTAACCAGTTGCATGCTGCTTTCCACTTTCAGGTACTGCCAGAATATATCAGTTATGATAAATACTAGTTATGCCACTGTTTCTCAAATGATTTTGTTTATACACCAATTATTTGCTTCTCTTTATATTGCAGAAGTTCTGTTTCTTTTTTAATACCCATTTTAAGTGCTGTAACTCTTCATTGTGTAGCCTAGTAGTAGAATGTTCCAATTCATGCAAAATACTGCAGCCAGTATCCTGTTCTTAAGCTCTCATTCTAACCTTTTGTAGAGTCTGGAATACTCCCAATGACTCCCTGTTTTCTCCTACTACAATAAGCTTATGCTGAACAAGTCTGTCAGCACTTCCACTTCTCTGTTTCTATTATGGCATGATCTCTTTCTGCACTGCTCCCTCAATAATATTAATTTAAAATTAATGTTTATATTAAAATTTAAAAGTGCACTTTTCACACTATTCTCTGCTTTATTTGAGCTCATCCACATTACTTCCCAGGCCCTCTTCCTTTTAAGGTGTTTCACAATTACCCTCATTTTCTGTGACTTTTCAGTATTTCTGGTTGTATGCTTAGAAGGGAGAAGTTCAGTAATGTTAGTGCTAATATGATTCTGGTAATGACATGTGCATTCCTCATTCATGCTTGTCCCATTAATAATGTTGTAGTGAAATATATGAAAAAAGGTTCTGTTATGGGAACTAAGTTGCAGAGAGGCTCTGGGATGATTTTGAAGGAAGAAAAAAAAAAAAAACCAGACAGAAACATACTTTCCACAGGTTGTAATTGTTTCTGGAACTCTATGGGACACCTGCCAGGCTTGAGTTTGGTGCTGCTTCAGTGGTAACTGGTTGACTGTTTCTTTAAAGTTAAATTTCCCAGGGTACCCTTGCTCTTTGAACTGCCCTGGTGGGAAGGTTGAATGGTACCAAGCACAGGCAGGCTCAAAGGTTTGGTGCTGTGGTGATGTGAGCTCTCTGACCCCAGTTAGATTGTGTGCTGGGGTCAAGGTTGGAGGTGGTTTAAATCAGTATTGGCAGCATGCTGGAAAGCTACATGAGAACTCAGCCCTGCTTTCTAACTTCAGAACTTACTATTCTGTAATTTTAAAAGACTTGCCAGATGTTCCTGGAAGTTGCTTGTTACAGTAACTTCCCAAGCTCCAGAATCTGTCCCAGCAGTTTAATGTGAAAAATAGGCAGTGTTCACCAATACACGAAGACTTCTTTATGCATATTGTCCTTATTCATATGAAGTCTCAAACCTCGGCACACAAGGAGGTGAGAAAACACTGATTTGCACACTGTTGTTGGAGAGAGTTTCAAGTTGTGGGTAAAAGAACCCACATTCATTTGGCAGAGAAAAATACTTGATCCCTTTCTGGGGAAAAAGATGGCTTAGTACAGATTGCCAGTGGGAGATTAAGTGATTTGAAGAAAGAGATAGGATTGTTTCTTTACATTCTCGCAACCAGAGAAGAGTGTAGGATGGAGAGTTTCAGACTGATCATGTACCTTTTAACGAGAAGCCAAAAAGGATTAAATTTACATTCCAAGCTGATCTGGTTTAGAGAAAGCTCTGAGGTGAAACCCAGTGAACTGTCTCTTCTGGGAAGCTTGGGAGCTGCAGCATTTTGTCCTCTGCAGTTCGGTTTTGTCTCTAGACACTGAGATCTCAGCTGCTGACTGAGGGTATCTTCTTTCAAGTGCCAATGCAGAGCAAGAGAGGCAGGCAGAGCGATTAAAGAGAAGGGAGAACAACAGCAGCAAAAAGAAGTGCAAAAGTAAAACATGATCTGGGAAAAAGAAAGAATGGGATAAAAGAATGAACAAAAACAGCGGAGAAGATTCATTCCAGTATAGAAGAATACAGAAAAAGTGAGGTAAAAAGAGAAGAAAGGAACAATGGTAATATTAGTCAGGATACTGTGGGAATTAGTGTGAAAGGCTTTACCTAAGTCCAGGTAGATGCATTCTCAGCCTTTCCCTAACCCACCAAACAAGTAATCTTGCCACAGGAGATGAGGTCAGTGAAGCAGGACCTGCCTTTCGCAAGCCCATGCTGGCTGGGCCTGATCCCGGTTGTCCTGTACACGCCGTGTGATGGCACTCAAGAGGATCTGCTCCATGACCTTCCTTTGCACAGAGGTCGGACTGACAAGGCCTGATGCCGAGATCCTCCTTCCAGCCCTTCTTCTAGACAGGCATCACATTTGCTTTCTTGTAGTCAGCTCGGATCTTGAGATCCCAGTCAGCCAGAGCTGCTGGAAAATGGTCGAAAATGTCTCTGTGTGCACTTCCATTAGCTCCCTCAGTACCTTGGGTATATTCCATAAATTTCCCATTGACACAGGCTTCCCTTTCCCCGTAGGAAATCATTAGTGCAGCCCACCAGGTGTGTCTCATAGTGCTGAGACCATGCAACAGGGTATGAGACAATGTTTATATGTGGCTTAATAAACTTACAAGTTTATACTTGTCCCAGTAGGAGAGAATGGTGATGCTTTGGGTATTTACATATTGGCTGGTTAATACAAAGTCAAATTACAGCAGAGTTGGGCTACAGTTTGCTGGCTGCTGTAAAAAAGCAAGGAGCTACATGATTGTAGCTTCATGGTGTGGATTCGTGACTGCTTTAAGTGAATAATTCCTTATTACCTATCCCAACAAGCAATCCTGTCATCCTATACGCACCTTCTTACTAGAACTGCATCACACAGAGACCTCATCTGCATTAATAGAGAATCTGTTAAGTATCTTTTGCATTGGTTAAAGTTTCAGCTCAGTTCCCACAGGTCACTGCTCACTGGGCAAGATCCACAGTCAAGCCCCTTGCAAGAGGATATAGAAGTGTACAGCTGAAAGGGAAAGACTTAATTTTTCAACAGCAGGATAAACCTATCATGAAACAACACCTTAATACTTTAATGGATGTTTAAAAGTAGTAAAAACGAACACTGTACTAAAAGAGTAAATCCAGCTGTCTTCTTGGTCTTCTATTCCCAACATACCCTTGTTCATGCTGTTGGTCTTGCAGTAAACTGGTATAGCTGAAGAAACCCTTTATTTACAGCCTAGTTGTCAGCTGGATCTATTCCCTGCCCAGTTTCCTGAATATTTGCAGACAATTTAATGTAGGCATGAAAAGAGAGACTGGAAGTGAAGTAGTTGGCAAAAGCAGAGGCAGGTCCATTCCATCCCTTGGCCACTTGCAAGGCTGAAAGTGTTTGCTGAATTACAGACAAGGTGTGGGCAATATCAGTGATTTGTGTTTGAATGACACAAAGGATGGTAATTAGAAGGAAACCAAGGCAAAGTAAATGCTTGGTAACTAGGTTTTAAAGTTTAGCACGAGCTGTCTTGTAAAATAAAATCTGGCCTTTCTGTATAAAGTATTTGAAAAGTACTTTATAATTGATAATTATTATCTGAGTTTCAGATAACATGCATGGAGTGAGTAAACATGTTACAGGCAAGATGTTGCTGTTGCTCAACATAAATGAGACTTGGGGTGGTGTCAAATTGCAACTGGACAGTCAGACAATATTTCCAAAATGAAATCAAATGCTAAATAGGGTCTGTCCGTTTGTGTACATATTTTCTTTAATGGAAAGCTGAAGTAAAAAGTTCCCATACTTCCATATAAACCACAATATTACCCTGTCAAACCCTACAGTGCCTCGGGACTAGGATTGCTTTCTGACCAACAGAGACAACTATTACTCCATCAACAGCACCAGCAATTTCAGCAATTACTAAGTACCCAGCAACTCACATCAGTAAGTTTTTCAGTTAATAATGATTTATTCCTCTATTGTATTCTAAGGCATGGATAGACTCCTCAGCTTAATATAAGTAGTAGTAATGCATTTAACTTGATATTAAAGGCTTTGATAATATTTTAGTCTTTCAGTTGCTTCAGCCTTTTTGGATGATAGTCATGTAAAATATTAGGATATTATTGGGTTGTGTGTATGGTTAGAAGAATCATTCCCTAGTGCCTTCAATTCCATTTTGTCCTCTGTGGACATGGAGGCTTGTTTCTCTCAGCATCAACTGTGGGCAGCAGAGCTTGAGAGCGTGTGTGGATTCTAACAGTATTGTGACCTATCTTTGATTCCACTGGAACACTAGCATAAGACTTTTGGATATCGTCTCGTGAGCTGTCTTTGCTCTGCTTGCAGTGTTCATATAGGCCATCAGGTAACCGGTTTAATTATTTGTATTGTTAACTGTGTAGTTTCAGTACACAGTCTTCTCAGGTATGTTTGTTCTGACAGAGGCCTGATGAAGCCAGCAGGCTTAGCTGAACTTCTGCTGAGCTACTGATTTCAGGGAGTCTGACAGGAACTTCCTTTCCCACAGTCTCATGGAACTTCATTAGTGTAACCTAAATTAGCTGGGATTAGTTTAAGGGTTGCACTAACTGAAGATCTAGATAAGCAGGAACACAGGGAGGAGCTATTTTTCAGCAACTAATTATTGATTTTTTTTTCTTCCTCCTCCCTCTTCCCATATTGCTCAAGGAACAACATCAGGCCCTTTTGTATCAATTAGTACAGCAGCAACATCACCATCACCAACACCATCAGTCTGAAGTACAGCAATTGCAGATTACTGGAGGAGCACAGATACCCATAAACAACTTACTTTCAGGCACACAGGCCTCACCACTTAATGCAGCTGCTACCAACCCATTCCTTACAATTCATGGAGATAACGCAGCTCAGAAGGTGACAGTAAGTATACTTCTCACCTCACTTTCCACGCAATACCTCCAGGAGGTAACTAAAAGATAAGAAGCAGGTTATGTGCCTGTATTCACAAATCAAAGATGGTGGATTTTATGTCTTAAGCCTTTATTTTTCTTAAGCCTTGGGCTGCATTTAAATGAGGCTCAGAACTCTGTGAACTTGTAATCACACCAAACATGTCTGCTGCACACTGTTGCCTCCCTGGATCAGGACACCAGTCCAGTGACCCTTGCCTTCCTCTTGTAATTACAACTGCAGCCCTAGTCCTCCTCACCCTACTTGTTCCCCAGCATTGTGTCCACTGTTTTGAGGATCATTCCTTTTACCACCTTACTGGTGAGTTTGCCTTGGCCAGGCCTCAGGCCCTGTGGAGCTGTGGGGATTAGCTGATGGCTTGAGAGGTGAGGAGCCCGTTGCTGGGAAGGTGGAATCTGTGTTAGGAGAACGGGCTGTGTGCATCTTGGTGCTGGCCTGGGAAAGCGAGGCTGTACATTGGGAGGCTGAGCGGCTCTTCCGCTTCATAGAGTAATTAAACATTTCCTAGACTATAGATAAAGAAACAAGACATATTTTTCTGGCAAAGATGTTCCATTTTCTTCAGTATTTGTCCATAATCTCCATCCTCAAGACAAGAATTCTTTCTTCAAGAAATCAGAGAACAGGCTTCATTCTTTAAGGGTGTTACAATTAAGATGAGAAGATAAAGGAAGGAGCATATGAAACTTGGAAAAACAAAGGATGAATAGAGCAGGAAGACAAAGTTTCAGCATTCCTTGGAGAAGACAGCAAGTGGTAGTGGTAGAGAAGGAAGAGAAGCTTCTCTGCAAGAGCAGGTGGGGAGAGTTTGGCCTAAATATGAGTCCCCTCTCTGCTCCCCACTCCCAAATCCTCCAGCTACTTTAGAAGCACTATGGTGGAGGACTCGGGCTGGGCTTCTGTGGTGCTTCCAGGCAGTACACACTTCCAGACACAAACCACATAAATGGTGAATTTTCATGATTTTTCCTGGAAACAGCTCCCTTCCATTCAAAACTGTGAGCACTCACATCTGTTCAGCTTTGTGCTTTGGGCAGTTGTGACGTGGCTGCGAACAGTCACTGTGGTCAGGCCCTGCTTTCAGGAGCACAGGCCTTGCCTCCAGGCCTTGCCTTCGTTCAGAAATGTTCACAGTTTGTTCAGAAAAACTGATCTCTCCTCATTTTCCAAAAATTAGTAGTGAATGGAATTGAGACCTTATATTTGGTGTACATCCAAGGAAAATATTGTGTGATCTTAGATTTTTTATTTTTTTAAATGGCCATTACTATGTCTGTACAGTGCACTGTATTTTTACAATTACGGCATTACAGTCTTTATGTTAAGTTAGCTGTAAATTATCACAAGAAATCTAAGAATATCTTTTGAAAAAAGCCCTTACCAAAAATTTCTTTTGAAATTGATTTTATATTTTTTAAGGCTAGAATTGAGACAAATTGCATAGATTGTTGAACTGTTCTTAACAAATTCTCTATTTGTCAGAGTTCTAAGGAGTTTTAATCTCACTTGCAGTTGAAACACATTTTCAGGCATTTCTGAATGCTGAGTCAATTAGATGAGATGAGATTTTTGCTCAGTCCTGTTCAATACTTGCAGGGAATGTCTTTGTAGCAATATATAAAAGAAAGAATTGTGATGGGGCAAATTGGAAATTGTATTTTTTCTGAGGGAGAACTGTAGATTTCAACCCTCTCCAGTGGGCAAATGTAGCAGAGGCCACTCTCTTTTTCTCTTGAAAAAGGTGTTTCTCTTGACCATCTTGCAGTTTTACTGTGACTCATGGCCAGGAACAGCCACTCCTGTTGGAATGAAAGCAGAAAGAGAGTTGGTGTTTTTCTAATGCTGCCTGTCATGACCTTAGCACTAGTTGCTTCAATACAGGACTGCTCCTTTAATTATTCTTTCCTCTCCCCATTTTTATTCTACAGTACATGGTTGTTTTTACAATACAGAAGTTACTATTTAGATGGCTCTAATGAATGTACCTCAACTGTTTTGTCATCTTTATGAACTGAATTTTACTTAGCTCTGTATGTTATAATCTGATTTTTAGAAGTATTTTCTCTTACACAGAGGCTCAATGATAAAACTGGACCAGTTGCATCAGAGAAGAGTTGACATTTGAATGACACTTGAGCCCTGCACGTCCTGCTGTTATAGCACTTCATGTGGCTGCAAACCCCAGGTTCCCTTTCTGCAGATTGAAAAAGAGCAACAAGGAACTCTTACTGCACAGCAAGCAGTTCATAATTTTCATAAGGATATTTTTGGTAGGCTTTCATTTGCTTTCTTGTTGCACTAAAATGGATGTACTTTCTAATGTCTCAGACTGTGAAGTAGATAAAACTCTGCAAATCATAATTATTTTGTCAATATGATGGTACTAAGTACAAATTCAACCACAGAAGAACATACACTTGACTCTTCAATCCTAATCTCACAGATTGAAAGGCTATCAACCGTCTGCAGTGCTGCATTGCTTTGGTTTCAGAGCAGTAGTTTTAACAGCCCAGCCCCAGCCCGTCTGATCTGCTGCTGCAGTTGTAATAGATCCTTTTAGACTGAGCTTGTAATGGCAGCTGGGACTTGCTGTTTGTCGTTTCTTTTTATTACACACCTGTTTTGGAACCTGACTCATAAGGGAATTCTTCTGAACTTTTTATTCCTTTAAATTCCTATTGTTGTATAGTTGGAGTTTTTCTTGAATAAGAATTATGGTATGGAATCCAAAGTTTATTAATTTTGGTGTAGGTTTTAGAGTTCTGAGGTTTTTAAAGGAACCATTTTGGTTCCAGTGACAAAGTTTTCTTACCAGATGAGAAGGCCACACTGGAAGAAGTTTGTGTAGTGTTTGGCCTAAACCAAGTGCCTGTTGCTACCTCCATTTTGTTGAAATGGCTGCAAACAGCTGATCATGCACTAGACGTGTCCTTGTTAGCAGCGGGAATATTCTGTCTTGCACCAGCAGCCTTGTTCTGCCTTTCCTAGAGGTGTTTATACCACTGTAGAGAGCTCAGGCAGATTGTTACCTGGGTCACTTTTCACTAATAAATTACCAAAAAAGTGAGTTACCATTTCGCACTAGAATTTCCCAGTGGTTGAAACGGGTGAACTTGTGTTACACTTCCGGCAGTTGCTGATCTCGTGGCGAGTCTATGCAGGGTGGTGAAGGACAGTTTAAATGGGGGTAATGACCACTAATCAAGAGTTGAGGTGGGAATTATTAGCGGAAAAGACCCAGCTGTAATTAGACCTCCACTGTGTACTTATTTGGAAGAACATGTTAATTCTGCAATATGTTTCTTAGTTAAACATTGCACAGTTCTTACCTCATTTCTGTAAATAAAGTTCTGTGAATCTGTTTTGTATTGTGAAGAATTCATAAGAAAACATTGATATTTTGATTTGTAATATTTCTAATTAGTAGATTTAATTGAAAAAGTAAAAATAATTTATTTTTATATGTTCTGGGGAATTTTTTAAAAATGTCACAAATCACTTTTGTAGATACTTCACAAAAGTAAACCAGTGGTTTATTTTACTTACTTGCCCCACTGGTGGATATTCTGTAACAATTTGTACAAAAGGTAAGATGGAAATGTGCTGTTATTTTGACTAGATGTAAAATTCCAAGTGTATGAAAAGATGTACAGAGCTTTTGTTAATAAACTTTAATAATGTTTATCATTGTATATGACTTGTGTAAATGTGAGTCTTGTAGAAGAAAAGAATATTTCTATTAACATAACACGAGAGGGAAGGGTTTGATTTACACATGGCTACTAAATTTTATTACAAGAAATTTCCAAAACTATTTTTCATGTAAATTTTTGCTTTCAAGAGACACTGATGTAGCTGAAAAACTGTCCAGTGGTATTTCTGTGTGCTGTAAAGAAAAGACCACTGCAGCCCTGGGTCTGATGTCAGATTTGCTTTCACCCTTCAGAGAGGAATGACTGGAATCACAGGAGCAGTGCTCCAGTTTGCTCTGGTGTAACATGGTGAGAACTCAGTGGGGAGGGGACGGTTCCTTATCTGCACCATGCCTGGGTGAGGGGAGCCAGGCCAAGGTTGCTGTAACCTTTGAACTGTACTTTCTGTAAAACCAGCACAGTGCTTTTCTCCTTTAATTTTGCTTACTGTCCATGGGAAGGTTGGTAAATAGCTAAACCCCTGGTTCTTGGCTTCCTGAGAAATAAAGAGAACTCAGCCCTTCCTCCATGTTCACTTGAAGATAAAATGTGAGGGGTTCTGCTCGTCAGGGGTTGATAGACAAGAGACACATTATGGCTTCCTCCCAATTTTTAGCCCTACTCTGGTCAGGGGCAGCCTGAGGCTGAGGGCACCTTCTGGGACAAGCAGCAGGAAGATGTTGTTCCATCTGCTCAGAGACCAAGTATTAAATATTTTTGTTTTATTTTCCAATGGGGAAAACTGGAGTCCTGAAATAAGACTGATAAATGAACAAGTTCAGAACTAACTGTAGGGAAATGTGAGACATCCTGGCATGGCAAAGGGGCATCACTTGCTTCCACCCTTCCCAGGACTTGAAAAACCTCCTGACATTTTGGGAGTAGTTGATGAATATTTTATGCTTTGAGGTGAAGAGGTTCAGGAGAGAGCTGTCAGTGTTCTGCCCTGTGGAGCACTGTCTGTTGGTCAGTGTTGAGAAGGGAGACTGCAGCCACAGAAGGCTGGGTCCCAAAATTACACAGTAATTACTCCAGTACTGCTAGATCTGGAGAGGAGGGGAAGAAAAGCCCAGTCTGCCCCTGCTCCTGGCACAAAGCTTCCAGGGAATCCCGAGTGCTTCTCCTGGAGCCACAGACTGCTGCATTTTTTCATGAACCTAAACCAAAAAATGCTTAGGCAATATAAGTCACCTTGCTCCAACTGGAGCAATACCATAGGAGTCAGTGAAAGTGCTAAGTCTTGCCTTTACTTGTGTGTTTTTTCCATTGGAGGGACTGCCTAAACTCTGATACCTGTCTCCTGCTAAGTGTGAAAGGGGCAAAGTTAGAAATAGTTGTGAAGTTGTCAAAAGAGATTGGGCACCAGAAGCCCAGGATAGCAGTGGGTGGTTTACAGTTCCACAGTCCTGGTATGCCAACAGTAAGAAAATAATGAAAAGGACAGTTCTGACATCCAGACATTCAATTCACCAGCCCTTTAAAGAGAGAGGCCACATCAAAGCCAAGTTCACATGAGGCCAGATGCAGTCAAAACCAACCTTGTTTCAATGAGTGTTCAGGTGCTGACATGAAAGATGATGATCTGTGGCCGATTTGGCACCAGTTCAGTGAAGCCCACAGTGCTGTCCCTGTGGAATTCCTTGGATGCCAGAACAGCCCAGGCCCCTCTGCAGATCCCTGGCAGCCAAGCTGCTGAGCTCTCCAAGTGTGTTGGGAACTGCTCTGGGCTCTGTCACCAAAGCATCACAGATTAAAGGTGCTGCATTCAGAAGATTTTTCACCAAAACCCCTCTTTACTCACAACAATGACAACAAACTTTATGGCTTGCAGAAGCTAACTAATCCTGGACAGCCTACACCATCTGAAATCCTGCTTTTGCCAACCCTATCCATTCAAGCTGTGTTAGCAGGAGCAACTCATTCAGCAGTAGCACTGTGTGACATTTCAACTGACCAGTTTTCTGATGCCTGTTTTTCATAAGCTGCACTAAAATCTTACTGTTGAGTTTGCCTAAAGGAGAGCTCTTGAGTGTTGGTGTTGTTTTCAGGTCCCATCAAAGGAGGACCACAAAGAGGTCACATCGCAAAACCTTCCTTGAAATATCTTCCATTTTTTTTTTTAAAAATTAGTTCTAACACTGAGAACTATAAAGTTGAGAGTAATACTCCAAACATGTACATTTACAAAAGACACAGCAGAACAGCATCTGCTGGTCTTTCCTCTAGAACTAAACAGCCTAAATGAGAGCACTTCACAGCATCTCAGTCATATTCTACTCACTTGAGTATGGCTGTCAGGATCCTCTAGCTTGGCACTGGACTTTATCCTCAGCATGGTAAGGGAATGTTGCCCTCCCTGTCTCATCTGCTCCAAACAACTCCATTCCATAGTGTTCTGCTCATGCCATCAGCAGAGATGAGCAAAGACACTCAAAGCAGGCTCAGATCAGACACATTTTGGTGCAAGTCAGAGTGCAGAACCTACACACACCTACTGGCTCTAGGACAGAACACAAAATTACGGTGCATAAACACTGTTGAGCTAGAGCTCAAAATTGCCCAGGAAAGAAAGTGTATTTTGCTAGCTGGCAACTATTAACATTGCTTAAAGGAAATCTGCTAGATTCTGTGCTAGAACAAAAGTTTGAAGAAGTTGCTTAAATCCCAAATGTTGAGTGACCTTGGTTTTCATGGACAGAAAAGGAAGTTTTAGAAAAACAAGCTCTGGTGGTTGATAACAGACCCATGAGAAAACAAAGCCTGGCTACAGTCTTCCTTTCCCTGGTGAGCATCATGTCTGACCTCAGTCACCACAGACTAAAGGCACTGCTAAACGGGCTGTGTCATCATCCACAAAACACCTGGCAACCCAGAAAGGGCCCTGAGAGGTTCTGAAGGTCTTGGACTCTTACCCTGGCCTTCTTCCTCAGTGCCAAGCACTAAAGCTAAAGCTAAAGGTGGGCCAATTCCTTTTGCCTTTGATGAACTGGACATGAAGTAGGACTGGATGCACCCTGGATGAAGCCTTCACCACCCCTCTCCATGAGGGATGGCACTCATATGGGGATCTGAGCTCTGGTTGCAGAGCTCAGGTCCACTGCTGCAGGGCACTGCCACACATTCCCCATCCAAAATCTTCAGTTTGAAAGGACCGACCAGTGCTATGCAAACCTTTCCAGTTCTTGATGCTGAGACAGTTGGGTTTGTCACCAATTCCTGGTGCAGTGCCACTGTGCAAGAGGCCAATGCATCTCTCTTACACAGCCAGCTGGCCTCCGCTTTCAGAAAGGTTCAGTCTTCAAGCAGCAGGGATGCAACCCATCAATTCCCTTCCCTCCAGGCATAAGCAGCACCTGTGATTAGACAGACACCCAGAACTTCAGGTGTTCAACCCGACAAGTGTGACAGCATGGCATGTTCAACCTTTGCCCATCCTTGATCATCTTCCTTCAGGTAAGTTTGATTTAAGTTTCTCAGTATGAATGGTCTTACAAACAAACAGACAAACAAACAAACAAACATTCTTACCAGTCAGCAGTGCTTGTCCTTCTTCCTTTGACCCCCATGAGAAAGGCTGTGGTGGAGGGAAGCGGAAGGTGTTGGGAGGCAGTGTGTGACTATTGCCACACGTGCTGGGGACATAGGCAGTCTTGAGCAGGTGCTCACAGTAAGTTTAGATCTCCAGCAATAAAGGTATCAAGAGTCCTCTCAAGTCCTTGTTAAATTTGGCACTGGATTTTTTTGCCCTGACACCTAACTAAGCTATCTCTCACTCCAAACTGAGTCCAGTGATATTCTTCACAGCCACAGCAGATTTGTAACATATTTGTTATATATGGATCACATCAGGCAAACAGATCACACAACTGCAAAACTCTTTTACATACCTGGAAGGTTTTTCTCTCCCTCTAGTCTAGAGCAAATAGCAGCAATACCTTCCTAGCAAATCAGGCAATGCAAATACTGGATCATTCTGCTCTCTTCTGGATGCTCTTCTTCTCAAAGTGTGATACACTGAACCAGGCACACCATCCCAGGTGAAGTAAATCCAGAGTGGAAAAGAAAGATGACTCTCTCCTCACAGGCTAAACTCTTCCATTACTTGCCTTCTCTTTTAGAAACTGCAGAAATATTCCCATTACCAGTCTATTTTTTTCAAGAACAGTACATCTCCCATTTGCTCATGTTCTATCCCAGCTCCACCCATTAATTCTCACTAATTCCCTTCACCATTTTAGCACCTTTTCTTTGCAGCCATTTCAATTACCTTGCTTCACATCTAGTCACCTGTTATTGAGGGTTCCGGATGACTAAAAGCTTTTGAAAGTTAACTTTTCCTGATACCTCTTGAAAATACCTCACTTGATCTTACTAAGAGTCTTCCTTTAAAGTAGCACAGAATTCCTGTTCCATTGATTATCACCCAGATCACAGTTTCTAAGTATGTTTAACTTCCAGTGTAGTTAAGCTGTGAAGTTCTCTGTGAAAAAAAAATTTCGATGCATTATTTTGTACCTGGCTATGCTTCTTTAGTATCATTATTTCTACCAATTAAGGTTTTTTTTTTTATATGAGACAAAAAAACTCCAAGAAAATAACAAATCCCCACCCCCCAAAAAAAACCACCAAAACCAAAAAACTCCAATGGGTAGAGGAACATGTACAGAACACTCTTATATTCCCTAAATACTTAGCCCTTAAGGTTTTATGGGAATGGGATGAAATGTTGTGAAGTGCTAATCTAATCTAACAGACAGAGCACAATGCACAGTTACTGGGGAAATCTGCAGTGGAAATGGCAGTAAGTTGACAGAGACTTTCAGCCACCAAGTTTCAATTTTGAGTTCAGATACATTATTTTCTGAGTTGTCATTTTGATTTTGAATTCAAGCTAAAAAATTTTTAGAATCCTGGTATTAAATCACAATTTAAGAGTAAATAATGCTTAAAAAAATTCAAGTCCTTAATGTTTCTTGCAATAGACTGTGATCATTGCTCTG